CTCGTTCTCCTGCTGCTTTGGAGGCTGCAGGGTTGGGCCCCATGTCCCCGCATCTCTTGTGGTTAAATACAAGGAGCAGCTGCTCGCTCGGGGCAGGTGAAGGCGTGGTGGGTGGTACAGCTGGGGGCACCTCTGCCTCCCCCGGGGAGGCACAAAGTGCAGCTGCGTGGTCCCAACCGCACAAGCACCCTCAGCGAGGCGCAAGGGGGTCTTGGCCATCCAACTGCCTGACTCCGGGTTGCGACGGGTCCTCATCTCACGGCCGGGCTGAACTGGCCTACATGCGTGCCGCGACAGCTCTCCTGGAAAACGTCCAGGTTCATCTGCTGGACGAAACATAATGGAAAATTATCAAAAGGTTTTATTAAAATCTAAGTAATTCCAATCTGGAAAGTTTCCTAACACAGCTCTGCTTGGCCAGGCCCGGCTGGGCGGAGAGCGGGGGGAACATATGCACAGCAAACACAAGCTTTGCAGCAAAAAAAAATGTTTGACGGGGGGGCCGTGGGGAGCACGGTTCAGGAAAGGACCGGCCAGGGCTTATTGCAGCAGCAATTAGGCTCGCCGAGAGCCGAGACTTAGCACATTGGAGGCCTAATTCCGCCTGAGCAGCATCTGCAAACCTTTTATTTGGGCCGTGCCACGCTGGCACTGGGTTCCTGCAATCATTTTTTTTTTCCTGCCCTGCCCGCCTGCAGATGGCCTGGCTCTTTGCCCTGGTCTGGGCGCAGCGCTGTGAGAGCAGCCACATCACCGCCACAGCTGCTGCAAGGGGAAACACCACGGCCTTGGTCCTGCGCAGGGCGCGGATGGGTCTCCTGGTACCGCCTGGTGGGCTCCCGGCTCTCACCCCTCACCGTGAAGGGGGAGTCACTGGGAGGGCTGCTGGCCTGAGGCACTTTCCGTGTGCTGGGAAGTAACCGTGGGGTGCAGCCAGGTACGCTGGGGCTCAGGTGAGCCCTTGCTGCTCCGCTCACGGGGTAAGAGCCCAGGGCAGGACACCTGAAGGGAGGTACTGGTGGACAACAGCAACTGCCTGAGGCTCAGCTCCTGGTTGCCTCCAGGAGCCAGTGGCAGGGTCTGGTGGGGCAATCCTCAGAGCAGGGACAGTCACTCGCCTCAGCTGCCTGCGCTAAGCCTGGCAGGGAAGTACTCGCTGTAGTTGTAGCGGCAGGAGGAGCAGGGCAGCACATTCCTCTTGTTGCTTCAGATTTGACCCACCCTGAGATTACTGGTAGCCAAACCTGGCCACGGCTCCTGAAAGTGCCGGTTCCAGCCAGGGCAGGTTACGACAGCGCGACAGAAGAAACCCTGACCTGTGGCAACGGCTGCTGCTTGCTCACCTCTCCACTGCTGCAGTGGGCTTGCCCATGTGAGACCCAGCAGCCATCTCGGTGACCGCACCGGGGCCTGGCTAGCATCAGCTTCCCTCTATTAGCGGCCCTGGGGTGTGCCTCAGCCACACCAGCTGGGTTCTCTCAGGCAGGAGATCCCTTCAGCATGGCCCAGGCAAGAGGAGTCGGTAACGCCACGACCACCACCCAGCATCCAGCGCTGCTGCAGCCTCCCTTCAGCTCACCCGGGCACATCTAGACCTTTCCGCAGCGCCACACGCACAGCGCTAGCCGGGGACTGAAGTGACCTCCTAAACCAATCACGGAAGGGGGACGAGGAAAGGGAAAACAGAATAAAACGAGATTATTTTGGCACGTCTATTGGCTTTTACGGGATTGGAGGCTGACTGTCAGGCACACAGTGCACGTCTGCGGGTTGCAAGGAGGCGGTGGGGGTGTCCTGGTGATGGGCCCAGAGCAGGCCAGAACCGAGCAGGCTGCAGGGCTGCATTTGCGGAAGCATCGTCATGGTGCCCACTTCTGCACAGCTTAGTAATATTAATTTCTAACGGGCACTCTGTCTTGGCCAGCCCCCCCCAGCCACTGGCTGGATTTTCAGACCGGGAGGTTGGGAAGCGAGTAGGAATGTTTTGCCGGTGCTCCCTCGTGTGGAGCTGTGTGGGAAACCATTTAATGTGAGACACAACAGCACTGTCTCATGACCCTGAAAAATCAGCGCGTCCTGCGCCTCCCTTCTCTGTTCTCAGGAGATAAGCTGTTTTCACACATCCAGCTGCAAAAGATCCTGGAAGACAGCAACTGTGAACTGGCATTCGCAAAGCCACGAATCCAAAGCTGATTGGCTCTAGTAACTTGTATTAGTGTAGAAGGTATTCACTTGAGCAATAAAATGATTCTGATGGAGCACAAGACTGGGGTCCGTGAAGTCATTCACCACAGAGCTGGGCGACGGGACACAGCGAGCAGTCCAGGAGTGGGGAAGGCTGGCTGGAGGCTCAGGGGGGCCAGGGGCAGGG